CAGATCTGCGACGAACCAACCGTTGAAATACAATCTCCACCGTTGAATATCAAGACCACTGAGTCACGAAGATAACCCAAAAATTTCAGCCAAATCGGAGCACGTTTAGGCCTCCAAACGTTCTCTTGAACAAACCCTGACGAAACTGTTTTTCTCCTTCTTAACCTACGAAAATTGCCTCTCTTCAATTTGTTTCTCTTTTTTGCAAAATTAGGTTAGGAGTCATATATATATACTCCCTCATAACCTTTAGCCCAATAACCAATTCTCATGGATCATAAGCCCAAGTTTGGTCCATCTCAAACCAAACCCAATTGGTTTCCCCACTAGGAAGAAAACCATCACAGAAGAATACGAAAGCGGTGAAACGAGTGAGAAAAGAGTCGGTGACAAAACCACCAAATATTGTGAGCAAAAACGATGTTCCTGTGAAATTGGTCACCATATTTGCTGCTTTGGCTGATGAGTAATGCATTGATTTCGTAAAGTATGTGAAGAAGTTGGTTGAATATGCTAAGAACACCATATTCTCCATCATCTCCACAACTGCATTAGCCCCACACCAAATTAAGAAAGAAAACTTTGATTATTTTTGGAGGATTTTAGAGATTTACCACAAGCAATGGAAGCAGCTTTAATCCCACCATGTTCTCCAGGGATTGCCTCTTTACCTCTCCAATCTTCAAACTTCTCTTCCATATCATTCTCCATCTGATCTCTACGTTCTCTCAGATTAACGATTGATTAATGAATGTTCTGTGTTAATTAAATTTGTGGTTTATAAATGTTTTTTATAACTTGAAGTTACCGATGTTAGGATGCAAAGTTGCGTGAGAGATGTAAAAGACATATGAATTAAGATTAGAAAAGGAAAGTAATTATTATTTGTTGACCTCTTTTATAAGTGTCCTAGTGGTTTTTCACGTTTGGTTTGTGTTGTTTTGGAAGGTAGCAAATTACACTCTTTACATTACTAGAAAATATATATATTCTTACGTTACATTTGTTTCTGAAAAAGCTTTGACCTGATAAAATTTTGGAAATTAATTACGCGTATTCAAACTGTATTTTTCTGGTAGTTGTGTTTGGTAAACCATTTTTCAGTAATTTTGAAACTTTATAGTAATTTCAAATAGTCTACTACTTTCTTGTTTTTAATTTTTCAAAATATTTTTTTTGTTGGTTAAGAGTTTTAGAATTTATTATAAATAAATAATTCTATCTAAGTTGTATTCAATTTATGATTTGATTAATGATATCCGTTTTTTTACAGTATTTGAAAAAAAAAATTGATATATACCTATCATTTTTTTTTCCTTGCAATACAAGAAAAGATCATGATATTGAACACAATAACTTTATTGAACAGAGCAACAATGCTTAAGGCAGTGGAGCTAACGAATAATCCGGTGTTTGTTTAAGAAAAATGTTTTCATGAACCACTCATGCTTGTATGAAGCCACTATGTAGCCGATTGTCAATCCAAATACAATTCCCGGTGCGAAGCCTAACCCTACTGCTATCCAACTCAACATCTCCTCTTCCTCTTCCTCTTCTAACACCGGCGGCACGTGGATATCTCCACAAATATCCTTAAGTGAAGGACCGTAAAGTCCGGGGTTTCCCTCGTAGGAAGAGCAGTTCTGTCTTTGAAACTGTGTACCATGCGGTATTGAACCAACAAGCTGATTATGTGAAACGTTTATCCATGCAAGAGAAGAGAGATCCCCGAGCTTTGGAGGGATCTCACCTGAAAGCTTGTTTTCGGATATATCCACTGATTCAAGCGACGTAACCAAAGATATTGGGATGTGGCATGTGAAAGCATTTCTTGACAAGTTAAGAACATGAAGTTCCTTCAAAATACCAATGGATTTAGGAATGTCCCAGAGCCGGATATGAGATTTTCGAGGCCCCATACAAAAAAAAATTACTAACATTTAGTATAAATATTTTTTTTTTAAAAAGTGATTTTTAACAACAATATATTCATTTTTCTTATTTGAAATAAAATTATGAAAAAAAATAATTAAATTTTTTACCTTTTAATCATACAACCTTATAAAATACTAGATTCCACAAAAAATTGTTTCTTATTTCACTAAAACTTTATTTTTATCC